CCATTATGAGATGCTATCAATGAAGTTTACCTGAGAGATCAAAAAAATAAAGTCTATTTGTACAGCACTGCATTCCCTGACCTCTTCCCTCAGCATTTCAGCTCAGGGCAGCAAATTACACAAACCCCAATTTTGATTTCATTTGATCAGGTCAGTATTTCTGTACCCCTGGCATATCCCTAACTCTGACACCCACAACATGTTCCTATCCAACCCAGGGCCTCACTCATCTTTGTCCTCCTCACGAGGCTGCCTCAGCTTTGCCACAGAGATCACCTCCCCAGTTCCATAAGGATTTATCATTTTTGTAACAGCATCATGAGAAAGAAATGTCCCATTTTTCAGAGCTGCTGTGACCAGCACCTGACTGTCCTTCCTGGAACTTGAGGCTCCATGTCCTTCATGGAACTTGTGCCTGGGGAGAGCAGGGCAGCAGAAACAGCCAGGCTGAGTCTGCCTGGGGGCACACAAAGGCATTAAGAGTCATTTACATGGAGTTATTCCTAACCTCCAACACCACTTTACCTACAGTAACACAACTGCAATGCAGGAGTGTGCCCTGGAACAGAACCTGCCTGAGGAGAATGGTCAACTCCTCCCAAAGCTCATGTCCCAAAACCACTGCTGCTACAAGGCCTCTACAGACAAGTCACAACTTTCAACCCCTCTAAACTGCTGCACCCACAGAAGGGATTGCACACCCAATTTCAGTCAGCAACCCGTGCTAAGGCCTCAGGAACAGCTTCACCAATATCAGATGCAGCAACCACAGAGCCACAGTGACAGAAAACACCAGCAGCCTGTAGCCAGCAGTGCTGTGCCCACCCTGCACCACCCAGGCTGCCTGTCCCCCTCCCCAGGGTGCAGAGTGGCAGTGGGAGCTGTGCCTGCCAGCCCTGCTGCTGTCACACACCCCATGGTCCCTCAGTGTCACTGCTCCTGTCACACCCCACAGCCCTCAGTGTCACTGCTCCTGTCACACCCCACAGCCCTCAGTGTCACTGCTCCTGTCACACCCCACAGCCCTCAGTGTCACTGCTCCTGTCACACCCCACAGCCCTCAGTGTCACTGCTCCTGTCACACCCCACAGCCCTCAGTGTCACTGCTCCTGTCACACCCCACAGCCCTCAGTGTCACTGCTCCTGTCACACCCCACAGCCCTCAGTGTCACTGCTCCTGTCACACCCCACAGCCCTCAGTGTCACTGCTCCTGTCACACCCCACAGCCCTCAGTGTCACTGCTCCTGTCACACCCCACAGCCCTCAGTGTCACTGCTCCTGTCACACCCCACAGCCCTCAGTGTCACTGCTCCTGTCACACCCCACAGCCCTCAGTGTCACTGCTCCTGTCACACCCCACAGCCCTCAGTGTCACTGCTCCTGTCACACCCCACAGCCCTCAGTGTCACTGCTCCTGTCACACCCCACAGCCCTCAGTGTCACTGCTCCTGTCACACCCCACAGCCCTCAGTGTCACTGCTCCTGTCACACCCCACAGCCCTCAGTGTCACTGCTCCTGTCACACCCCACAGCCCTCAGTGTCACTGCTCCTGTCACACCCCACAGCCCTCAGTGTCACTGCTCCTGTCACACCCCACAGCCCTCAGTGTCACTGCTCCTGTCACACCCCACAGCCCTCAGTGTCACTGCTCCTGTCACACCCCACAGCCCTCAGTGTCACTGCTCCTGTCACACCCCACAGCCCTCAGTGTCACTGCTCCTGTCACACCCCACAGCCCTCAGTGTCACTGCTCCTGTCACACCCCACAGCCCTCAGTGTCACTGCTCCTGTCACACCCCACAGCCCTCAGTGTCACTGCTCCTGTCACACCCCACAGCCCTCAGTGTCACTGCTCCTGTCACACCCCACAGCCCTCAGTGTCACTGCTCCTGTCACACCCCACAGCCCTCAGTGTCACTGCTCCTGTCACACCCCACAGCCCTCAGTGTCACTGCTCCTGTCACACCCCACAGCCCTCAGTGTCACTGCTCCTGTCACACCCCACAGCCCTCAGTGTCACTGCTCCTGTCACACCCCACAGCCCTCAGTGTCACTGCTCCTGTCACACACCCCACAGCCCCTCAGTGCCACTGCTCTGCCTTCAGTTTATGCTTGTTACAGGTTCTCACACTCCAAAAAGAAAAGGCTTTTTCCTACAAGAAAGCAATGGAACACTCCTCTTGCTGGGACCACACAAGTAATTGCTGAAGCTGCTCTGGAATTCGGGCACTGACACAGCAACAGCCACAAAAAAACCCAGAATTGGCTCTTCCTGTCACTTGTTGCACCAGAGAAACTGCAGCCACGTGTGGAGCACCCCCAGTTCCACCGTGTCACACCCCTGCTCTGCTCCACTGCAGCTGACACACAAGGGCCCTGTGTCCAGGTACAGCACCTGAGGGCTTCACACCAACCCTGCCAAGGCCAGAACCCCTGAAAGACACGGGCACAAGAGAATTTGGTGTTTCAGGGCACAGCCAGGGCTCCTCCCACAGCAGGAGTGACACAGCACAGACAGCGAAGCCACCAGCACCTCTGCACCCCCACGACACAGACACAAAGGACTCCAGCTCAACACAAGCCCAACAGGAAATGTTTGTGCAAACAGCATCCTTTTGGGCTATGCACTAGGGTTTATTTCTTTTCAGAGTTCCTGAGAAAACCTTCCTCCTGCAGCAGCAGGGATGCTGCAAGGAATCCTTTTATGAAGGCTGGTAACAATCACCTAACACCTGCAGAGACCCAGCAGCAGCAATTTCCCTGCAGGTCCCTGCACACAAGTCCAGGGGACAGTAAAACTGGGCTGGGGCACCACAAATCCCTTCTGGAATCCCTCCTTTGTCCTGCAAGAACATTCACATCACAGGAGTCTCTCAGCCACTTGTTCAGCAAACAACAACATGTTTTAAGGACATGAAAGACAACTGTCAGGACTGTTTTCACAGACAATGCACCAAGATTAGGAATAAAATAAATTAAACAAAATAATTAAGCAGTATGAGAAGCAAAACCTTTTTCAAATATGAACCTACAGCTCTGCTTCCCAACAGGAACTCTTGTTGCTAACAGGAGTTGGTTAACAAAAAGAGTTAAAATCCTAAATATAAAGTGGAAGAACAAAAAAAAAAAAAAAAAAAAAAAAATCTCCAGTCATACTTCAGAGTTCGCAGACATCCTTTTATTAAAAACACAGTTCCTATGGGAGTTAGAAAGGAACCACTTACCTGACACAAATAAATCTTGTGCAAGTTCCACTCCTCTCCCAGAGCACAAATTTTGATATCACTGTTCTCCCCATTCAAAAACAGTGTCTGATAAATATACTTCGACGTGCTTTTCAATTTTTTCCTAGTAAAAACAAAACAACAGTGAGACACACCCCTTGAGATCCTCCGTTACAGCATCAACAGTCGGTGCCAAGCGCTCGGGGGGTTGTTCCTGCCCGGCCCGGCTCGGCCCGGCCCGGCAGCCGTGTTCCCCCGTGCCGGCACCGCTGCCCCGTGCCGCCGCTGCCGCCGGGGCCTTTCCCGGGGAGCCCCATGCGGCCTCAGCCCGGCTCCTCTGCCCTGCAGCCCCCGCTGCTTCCCGCACGGCACCGAGGGGAGGCCGGGCCGGGCCGGGCCCTGCGCTGTTCCCTGGGGGCTGCGCCCCGGCCCGGCCCCGCATCCCCCCGGCCCCGCTCAGCCCGGCCCTGCAGCTTCCGCAGCGCCCGTCCCTCAGACCTGCGGCCCCGGAGGTGCAGGAGCCGCTCCTCCCGCTCGGCCTCGCCGTCGCTGTCGCTGTCCCCGGTTCCCTCGGTCCCGCCGCGCTTCCTCTTGCCGCCCTTGCCCGCGGCCGCCGCCTCGCCCCGCGGGAGCCCGGCCTTCCGCCGCAGCACGCGGCTGCCCAGCGAGCCCATGGCCGCTCCACCGCCTCATGGGGCCGGAGCGGAGCTGCGGCCGGAGCGGTAGCGGCGCCTCAGCCCCGGCCGGCGGCGGCCGCGGCCCCCGCAGCTCGGGCTGGGCTGGGCTGGGCTTTTCCCCCTCAGAACTGGATAAAAGCTCTGCCTCCTCTGCCGGCAAAACTCAGGAATGTGTCTCCAATGGCAGCCCAGAGAACGAGCAAGAATATTATTCTCTTGGAGGCCACAGAGGCATCTCCTACTCCAGCCAGCAGCCTGTTTTAGAGGAAAATGAGGGATGGGATTGGGGTGTAGCCACCTCAGTGTTGGAGCTTTGCCAAAGCAGCCTCAGGCTGATCCTTCACAACAGGATTATCCACCGGCAGTAAAAAATAAATTGCTAAGCCAAAGCAGAGTCCCATTTTTGGAGGGCAAACAGTGAACAGTGTGTAGGGTCTGGGGGAGAAGTCTCTCCCAGAGGCTGATGGGGACATCCCCGTGAGGCCCAGGCACAAACACAGGTCCCTTATGGGGTTGTGACACGGGGCAGCTGGCAGTCAGCCTGGGGAGATGTGGGCAGCTGTCCCAGGCAGGTCTGGGGAATCCCCTCAGGGATATTTGGGATTGTGTCCCAGGAAAATCTGCCCAGCCCCAGCACCAGGCTGGTGAGGTAGGGTTTTGGGGACAGGTCATTCCTTAAAAGGCACCATTCCAATGACAGCACTTTATCCAGAGCAGGTTTATAATATAACCCACATTATTTATATTCCCATGATCCAGCAGACAGACCAAAATCACAGGGCTGCTCTAACCAGGGCAGAAAAGGGTTTTTCTCATGTCACCAGTGACAATTCCCCACTTACAGGCAACATATACACACAGCACAGCCAGGCTGTTAATGCTCCACACTAACAGAGGCAAGTCAATATGCAAACGTGTTTGTATTTTAGATATTTGGTTTCTTTGTGTTTTAATTCTACTGAAAAACTGAAGCAAACCCATGTTTTGCAGTCTCCATGTACCAAGGAGGTTGGCTTTTCCCTGTGCAGCCTCTCACTCTCAGGTTTGCTTTAGTTGATGCATTTTGCTGGTGAGCACAACAGCAGAGGGGCAACTGCTCAGGAAACAACTTTTATACCTTTGGTTACAGCATTCTGTGTAAGTTGGGCTTCACCAGCCCAGTTAGTAGGCAAATGGGTGTTCCAAGCATAAAAGTGTATCAAAAGGGTCAACCACTATCTAACCAGAACATGAACTAACCTAAGTCAGTAATCAGAGTAATTAATAAGGCATTTGGGAAAAAAAAAATAAAAGGAGGAAATCTTTATCATGATTGGGCTCGATGATCTTAAAGGTCTTTTCCAACCTAAACCATTCCATGATCAGCTGCTTGCCATCACCCAGCAGGTTCTCCTTTAATCCTCCCCACCACACAGCCTGAGCAGAACCTTCCTGTAGTCCCCTGAGCAGTCTCCCTAGAGAGAGCAGAAAAAAGGAACACCATTAATTTTGCAGTTCCATGGAAAGCAGGATTCCTTTCAGTATAAATGACTTATTGTAGTGTTTGTATCCTCTTTGACAACTTCATAACCAAGATCATTCAGGAAGGTTTTCAGTACATAAATGTGAAGTCTCCTTAATTCCACCTCCTCTAAAATACCCAAATGTTGTTTTGAGGGTCTCCTAGGTGCTGCTTAGCAAACCCAGGTGTGTGTAAGACTCTGAGCTCACCTTAATGAAGGAGTGGAGTGATTTTCCATACATGGCCAGGAACTCCCTCCTGATGTAGAGCATGTCTATCTCAGCACGGGACACCATCACCCGGATCAGTGTGCTGTCATCAGTGCCCAGGCCCTGAGGGGACACAACAGCAGCTGCACAGGCTGGGGACACACAGGGACAGGCACTGAGCCTTGGCCTTCCATGGAATCCACTCCTGACTAGACCATTTTTGCATTAATGCAGGCATCCATTACCAGCTCTGAGCTTCCTGAAGGAAAAGAACTCCACAGAAAAGCTCTGAGCTTCCTGAAGGAAAAGAGCTGCACAGAAAAGCTCTGAGCTTCCTGAAGGAAAAGAGCTGCACAGAAAAGCTCTGAGCTTCCTGAAGGAAAAGAGCTCCACAGAAAACCTCAGACTTCTTTCTTTTTTCCCTCCAATAAACAGTTCCTTTTTCTCTAATTCTGTCATGCTATTGACTTAAGCATGGAGAGGCAGGGGGGAAAATAGCAAAATCTCTTTACCTTCATGGATTTGTACAGTCTTTCAGCAAAATAAGCAGGTTTATTCCTCATGCACTTTACTGTAAGGGAGACAAAAGCAAAATAATTAAAACCAATAAACACTGAAGGATAAAGTCTTCCAAACCCTTCCAGCACTTTCTCAGAGCAGATATTTATTCTGTAAAAATGCAACTCAACAAGCACAGTGCAGACATCCAGAGTCAGTGACCTGCTGTCAATTGATGTCTCCATGCCCAGTGCACAGCAATAAAATATTTTTAAGGCTTTAAAGCTTCCAGACAGCAAATGTCATCTGCCAAAGCATCCCTTGGCAGACAAATACAAAGCACAGAACCTTCTTACCAGGTCTTTGCATCAGCAAAGATTAAAACACTGTGGCTTGTAAAACAGTGAAAAAGAATGTGCCTCCTGAAGCTATGCAAACAGTCAGGGCAAGAGACAGTATTTTTAATTATTTAATTAGTTTGTAGACAAAGATTAAAAGCAGGGAACTCACCCACAGCTAACAAAGCATCCTCAAGGTCTCCTGACATCTCAGATTTAATGCTGTCTGTGATGTCCTTATTAGCAATCACTCTGTACACATCAAAAACTAGGAGGAAGAGTTGGATAAAAGAGCCAAGTGAGCTGCTTCAGTGTGTAACCCCCGAGGATCACTTTGCAAGATCAAGCTCCTCATAGCCTGTACAAACACTGCACCATTACCATGACATTATAAGCTAAATCAGGGCTGCCCCTCAGAAATAATTCATTTTAATTATCAGCTGTCTTGCTAATTAGCCTACCACTGCTGCAAGGATTTTCCAGAACTGCTATTTAATGCAGTTTCCATGCTTAGCTCTGTCCCATGGGAGTCACACTTCATTATCTCCAATTTACAGACTAGAGGAAGTTGTATGGGTGTTTTACTCAACTCCCATTTTGAATCAACTGGCCCTGAGAATATCTGTTGTCTCAGGAAGAGATCACAACCAGTTAATGAGCAAGTGCAAAGCTCCTACAAAAGTACTGTCCTCAAACAAGGGGAAAAACCCAGGACACCAGAGAGGTCCTACCTCTGAGCAGGTGGCACCTGTTCCTTGTGCAGAGGATGGACAGGAACTCCACCTCATCTGTTCCCCATTTCTTCTCCCCAGCTTCATACAGGGCCTGGAAAACATGAACAAAGTGAGGATAACTGAGAACACCAGGTGTATATAATGAGATTTTTACTTCTTAGAACCATTTGGGTTGGAAAAGCCCTCTAAGGCCATTGAGTTCACCACTAACTCATGTCCCCAAGTGCCACATTCACATGGTTGTTGAATCCCCTCAGGGATGGGGACTCCACAGCCTGTGCCAGAGCTGGACAACTCTTTTGGGGGAAAAATATTTCCTAATATCCAATCAAGTCTTCACCTGGGGCACTGCTGACTAGCACCACTTCAGGTTTACTCATCTACCTTGAGAAAAAGAGGTCTATAAACAGCAGGGATTCACCACACATCACACGTACAAACCCAGACAGTCTTTCCCAGGAAGCAAATTGCTACACACCTGAGCATCTTGTTGAGCAAGGGCTTCATCCACAAATGTTCCCTCATCTCTGTTACCCTGCAGTAATACAAGGATGAAAAACTCATTTCAACAGAGCAACTAATGGAAGTAAGTCCTGCAAAATCCCCATTCAAAACCAGTTACTGGAGATGTATAATGGGATTCTTAACATTGAGTAATGGGTTACAAATACAGCAAAACGTGATTCAGATGTGATTGCTCTTTCTGTTGGAACTAGCAGCCATCCACTTTATTAAAAAGAGCATATGGCATCAAGGCATGGCAGAGTGAGGCTGCTCTCCCTGCAGAAGCTGGTGTGAAGTGCTGGCAAGGTGAAATGCAAGGGAAGTGAAACAGCAGCCAGCCTAAAGCACCTCTGTGGGAAATGGATTTATAGAAAATTCTCAAAGCCTGACAGAAGGCTCACAATCTGTATGCAAACTTTGAGATCAGAAATGAGTGAGAGATGCCCAGCAGATGTTCACCCCCGTGATCTCCCCAGCCTGGACTCACCGTGGCGAGGGACACGAGGACCCTGCGGAACTTGGAGGATGTGTCAGAGACAATGTCGTCCTCCAGGGTGGAGCCGTACTCTGCCAGGGCACACACACACACACAGCACATCTGTTACTCACAGAATCCCAGGATTTGCTGACTGGGAAGGGACCCATGAGCAGCAGCAAGTCCAACTCCTGGGCCTGCATAGAACCATCCCCAGGAGCCCCACCATGTGCCCAAGAACGTTGTCCAAACACTCCCTTAGCTCCATCAGGATTTCTGCTGTTCTAGGGAGCCTGTTCCAGTGCCCAGCCACCCTCTGGGTGAAGAAGCTTTTTCTAACATCCATCCTGAACTGTCCCCAGGATTCGGTTGCCTCAGCAGTGCAGCACAGGGGGACAGGCATGTCCTGCTGGCCACACTGTGGCTAGGACAAGCCAGGATGCCCTTGCCCTTCTTGGCTTTCATGACAGCAATCCAGCCATCATATTGAGTGGTACAGGGCAAAATTAAAAAGCACAGCCAGGATAAAACTGGCAAAAGATCCACCATGGATGGACCTCCAGCTGACAGACATAACCACCCCACCCCATCACATTTACAACAACTCCATTTCTGGGTGTAATTCTAGTCTTTGGTGCTGACAGAACCTTCTCCTTCCTCTCCACACAGCCCTGCACACCCACAGGTGGCTTCTGAGCCAGTAAGAAATTGCAGAGTGTGCTACATACGGAGTTTGTAGTTCTCATTGATGTGCCGAATCTCCGCGTTGGTGCGAGAAGCCAGGATTTCAATCAGGCAGCCTTCATCTGTCCCTGCTCCCTGGGGAATCAGAGACAAGACTCTGACAACTAGGACTTTTGTTTATTAGATATAGCTTAATAAGAAATTAATAATTAATATACAATTATGGCATTGCATACTGAATTGACTGTAAGTCATGTGACATAAAAAAGCATTTCCAAACCTTCAGAGCCCTCCTCAGTTCATGCACGTCATACATGGTGGTAGGAGTCATCAAACCAATGATCACCCTTTCAAAATTCCCACTCAGCTCAGACTTCAAGTCATCAATCAAATCCTAGAAGACAGAAAGAGAAGAAAGGAGAAAAAGACACGGCCTTTGAGAAGAGGAAGAACTCTGTCAATACTTTTCTTGGATGAACAGTTACTCTGAAGTGAACAAGAACAAAAATCTTGGCCAAGGAAAGCTTGTGCTCAGTGCCAATCATGCTCTTGTGGAGGCTAGGATGTTTTTCACATTTCACTCAAGTGGTACAACCCAAAAAAGTCCCCATCTCCCAATTAGAGGCACAGGCACTGATCTCTGAAGAGCACCTACCCTGCCAATAGTGCTTTTATAGGTGATCAGAACTTGCTGACGTTGGGAAATGTTCAGTTTGGTCAAGGTCTCAATGATGGCATCTTCATCTGTGCCTGGAAGGAACCAAAGAAAACCAGTCAAGCTGCTTGTACCAGAACCAGAGGCCTGCTCTGGCCTTGCCCAGGGTGTGCCATTGGCCACACAACCTTACAAACATCCTTGCACAACCTGGGTCTCACCTGTGCATGAGTGCCTTAGCCCAGCAGCACCACACCACAGACAGAGAAAACAAGAGCCTGACTAAATATGTTTTTATGGCCAAGACTTGAATTTCCAGTGGGGTTCAAGTTGCCCAATTCCTCCAGTGCCCTCACAAGGCAGTGAGGTGATGCAAATGGCTGAACTTCCCCTCCAAAAAACCACCAGTAAAAACCTTCCCAAGCAGCAGAGCTGAAAAAGGTTTAACAGTGGAGGGAGATAACTTACCAAGGCCCTTCATGGCCTTCCTTAGTGCCTGTGCTTCTTGCTCAGCACTGAAAGCTGAGACACCCTTGATTGTTGCCTAAAGCCAAAGGAGAGGAGTTATGAAAAGTAGTCACAAAGTGAGACATTCACAGAGTAGAACTGAATTTAAAAAACAAACAAACAAACAAACCAATTCAAAAGATGCAAACATCTCTTTTGGAAAGTGACAGCCAGTAAAGTCAAAAACACCCTCCAAACATGAGTGATTTCATACCAGGTTCCATCCATTCCAAAAATGAAATGGTTTGTTCCAGAAGGACTTCCCAGCCACATAAGAAATAAGCTACAGGGACTCAACTGAAAGGAGAAAATATCTTAATGTGGCTGCCCATGCAGTATCTGCTTTCCAGTTAAATAAGGGCACACTGCCTGACATCTCTGTTCAGTCCAGCTTCTTCCCAGCAGTTTTCCATGTAAATCATAGAAGAAGCTGTTCCCAGCAAAGCCCCATTCCTGACTTCTCTAAGAGCAGTCAAGAACCATCATTCTGTTAAATAACACACCAGAAAGTGCAGTGTTTTACCCGAAATGGTGATTCACAAACAGGTTTCTCCTGCCTCTGGTCTGGTGCAATTTCTGGGGAAATACACTTTTCTTGCAAAGCTCTTCATGTTCCCAAGAAAATCATCAGTGGTAAAAGTACCACTTAACATTCAATGGGCAGAAAAGTGTTCCCCTGTCCCTGGAAGTGTTCCAGGCCTGGCTGGACAGGGCTTGGAGCAGCCTGGGACAGTGGGAGGTGTCCCTGCCCATGGCTGGAGATGGAACTGGATGATGTTTAAGGTTCCTTTCAACCCAAACCATTCCAAGATTCTGTAATAGCAACCATAGAAATGGCTGCCTCGTAGGCTCAACCTGGAAAGAATAATATGCCTAGGAAGTTTATCTGGAGAAATTAATGTTCTTTGAATTATGTGAATATCTGATCTGGTTTTCCATTAACTCCCCAAAGGCAAAAGCCTGTATGTGTGGGTCATTCTCCTCTACAATGAGGAAGCAGAAAGAAGTGATAAATTCACCCCCTTGAAAGGACAGACAGTGACAGTGTTCTTCCTGCTATGTCCTTATCTGAGCTCCACTCCCCACGTTTATCAGGTCAGAGCAAAGGCTTGGCACAGCCTGGCACAGCAAACACACTCACTCACCATCCTGCTCGGATCTGGTCAATCTCTTATTGTCTGTGTCCAAGGCACTGAGACAGCTGTAATAATAAAACACAGGAAGTGTTAGTTTTCTAGCAAATTATTAATAGAATACACCTTCCCTGGAAGGTTAATGAGGCTGGTTAAATAACCATCTAATTCTTTGAGGACTAAAGCAAGATTGAGCAACCCAAGCTGAATGCCCAGGGCAGCTTCCCAGAGTGTCCAGCCCTGCTTTGTGCTGAGCAAAGGCTGGATCATGACAGCACAGGGCCAGGGCCGGGCTGGGAGGGATGTGGTGGACACACAGGTGATTAGCACTGGTAATTTAATGATTCTTCTCTATTGCCTGTGTGACAGCCTGGCTGAGGCTACAAGGAGAAGCAGACAGTGTTGCCCTGGAGCAAAGAAAATAGACTTGATTCCCATGTCCTCCAAAATGCATGGCTTTGACCTTGGCAGGTGAGAGCCTGAGGGTGAGCAGGGTGAGGATGAAGCAGGGTGAGGATGAAGCAGGCTGAGATTGCCCACACAGCCCTAACCCTTCATGGATCCTGCCTGGGAGGCAGAGACATTGTGGTGTAGGTGAGAACACAAAGGAGAACCTCACTTGAACACAGGACAGGAGAATTACTTTCCTTCTTCTAAATGTTCTATTATCTTAATAGAACATTTTATATTCAACATCCCCTCAGTTTGGTGCACTGTGTCCTTCCTTGTAGGGCTGTAGTTTTAACTGACAAAACCCTCAAAACCCCCCAAAGCTTCCTTGCCATCTGCCCAGGGTTATTAGTTCTGTTCACAACTTTGTTTGCAATCAGAGAGCCTTCGCATGAACACACCCAAATTTTCCTGAGTCCCTGATCCCTTGACAGGATGTCACGTACCAGGACAAAGTTCACTTCCCCACAACCCAAGTTCATCCCAGCATCACAGCAGAGGAGTTAGGAAAGGCAGACTCAAAGAGATACCTACATACAGTAGGGTTGAATTGAATAAAAAATAAACCCAAAAGATGCAAACACAGTGACAGTAAGTCAAGTCCACCCACCAAATGTGTGGTTTTATTCCAGGGTTGAGCGAGTTGTCTCATTAAAGCCCTGAAGCAGAAGCAGAGGTGCCAGCAGTGAATGACATCTCTCCCCAATTCTCCTCGTGGTGCTTAATAGCTGCTATCCACGAGTCCAGACAGTTGTGCAAGCCCAGGAGTGTGTTTGCTCCTGCTCCACATGACTCCTACAGACCTGGAATGCACAGGGTGAGCTGCTCAGGCCAGTTAACTCTGTGTGGCACTTGCCACGGACCTGTTATGCACAGGCACTCCTGGGTGCACCTCTAACTTACTACACCCTCTGCAATCAGGCAACATACAGCAATTATTAGTGTTGAGTTTGCTTCCTTTCATCTGATCACGAATTCCAGCAATCACAGTATGACCTAGACCTCAGAAAGTCATCTTTGCTCTTCTCTAATCTTTTTACAGAAGTAAAAAGCCAATTTTGTTTGCTTTAGTCAGACACTAAATGAAGGCTCTGAATTTCACTGTTGTTTTTGTGATGGAGCTCCTTGGTACACAGAAGCAGGAATATCAGAGAGGCTGGTTGAGCAAGTCAATTAGAGGGCAAAATAAAGGTCAGTAGCAAGGGAAAGGGAAGCAGAGAAATTCTGAGTGCAAATGAGCTGGCAGAAGGAAACCAGACCACGAGGAGTGGCTGCATGTACTGCACTCAGGGCAAATCCTCTCGCAACATCCATTAACAGCAGAAATACCACACTGAATATTGACTGCAAGACTGATTTCTCCATCCTGGGAACACCATTGGGAATTGAAAGAGCAGAGCACTGGAAAGGCAGCAGGGCAAAGCCAATCTGCAAGTGCTGGTTTGTTCCTGGTGCATTTCTGTGTGAGAATGAGCCTCTGAGGTTACAGGTGGGAGAGCCCAGCCAGGCTGTCTGGCAGTGGCCCCTGTAACCCTTTCACAGCTGAAGGGGTCTGCAGGAACTGGGGCTTTACATGAATGAAACTCTCCTAAGCCACCCCTTGGCAAGCAAAGAGAGGGAATTGCTCAGCAGATTTGCCAGTGCTCAGCAGCTTAACACAATTCCTGGCGTGCAGCTCAGTCAGGGAAAAACAGCTCCAGGACAGGAACAATACTTTGCTCTGTGTTTTGAAGAATTAAACTGCATGCAAGAATCAGCCAGCCAGTGCTACGATCCTGATGTTATTTGCTTCACCCCAGAATAAACGCCTGGTGCAATCAACCTGGCAGAGAACAAGCTAAAAACATTGTGTCCAGGTGATAGAGTGCAAGTGTAGGAGGCATCCCTCCCATTACTCGATTTTTTTTCCACGGATGATCTTTCCCTGGCAGGCTTCATCAGCTAAACAGCCTGTTTTAAGTCCATATCAAACATCCTCTAAAAGCTGAATAAACCTGATTTATCAGGGAAGTGCCGACACTATCACATGTGCTGGCCAGTTCAAGTTTAGGCTTGCACACAGTCAGGTTTTCCTGACTATGCTCAGAGCACACACACAGGAACCACCAAGGAAAGTTCCAACAGCTTAACAGGATATAAACACAGGGCTTTTCCCCTCCCAGTTTGAGCTCGCAGCGTTGCCAGTCCTCCACCTCGGACCTGGATGGAAACCCACCGCTTTGTGACCCTTTTCCTCGCGAGGCAAACCCTGGACCTGTCCGACGAGTTCCTTCATTGGGTGCACGTTTACCCAAACACAGCCCACACCCAGCGCCGCATCAGCTTTTCCACAGCTCGGTGACCGCCAGCTGTTGCCGGTGTGCGGGATGCAGCCCTGGCTGCGCTCCCGGCGTGCCCGGGCTGGGGCTGGGGCTCGCCGCAGGGCCACTGACTCCGAGATCGCAGCTCCAGAAAGGATCTCCCGAGACAGCTGAGGTATCCCAGCGCCTCCCACACAATGACCTTTATATGCCACTAAAAACATGATTCTTACAGCCTCGTACGCCTCATTCAGCCTGTGCGCACACCCCGAGCCGTGTCACCCCCTGCCATGCCCTCAGCGCTCCAGCGGCCAGGACCTGCCAGCCCTGGCACGGCACAAACAGGAACCAAAAGCCGCACTCCCTGTGACAGGGAAAGGTCAGCCCTTCCTCCATCCCAGCTGCCCCCGTCCTTGCTCAGCCCAGGCCGGGCTGCCCCAGTGCCGCGGCACCGCTGGCATCGCCCAGCCCGGGGCTGCCGCTCCCGCAGCGCCGCCGCTGCGCGCTGGAAAGCGGGGATTGGCACCTTCCCGGGCACCTCCGGCCATGCAGCCCCGTCCCCATGCCAAGCGGGACGCTTGGCACTCACCTGCTGTCCCGCGCGGGTCACTGGCACAGATGGGGAGAGCTTTGGTGGCTGTCCTGGGTGGCGAAGTCCCCGCCCTGGCGACACGCGGCAGTGACGTGAGGGAGCTCCAGCCCTGCCCTGCCCATCCCTGAACAGTTGGTTGTGATCCAGAGCAGGGAGAAGTTCCCGGGAAGCCTCACTCACACTGCACGTTTGGGATGGAACCCCAAACTGCACTTTAGGGGTTACACGGAGCGCTGGCAGGCTGGGACGGCATTCCCTGTAAAAATCCCTGGGAGCTGAGGGGCTCTGCCTGCAGGCTCTGGTCTCTCACTCCTGCCTGCAGCAGGCGTGGAGCACACAGACAGAAACACCCTCGAGGAAGAAGTCCTGTTCCTCCCCCGGTGTTGTTTGTGGGGATTTCTGATCTGTATCGTGCCTCCTGTGCTCCCACAGCACCTCTCTGGCTCTTCAGCATCCTCACCCCTCGTCTAAGCACTTTGCATTGCAAACAGCCATGATTTCACTTAGGATGGTTCTTTGCATAACGATTATTCCTTTTGCCCCGATAAATGGCAGTGCCCTCAAGCCAAAACCCTTCAGGCAAAGGGACTTCAGTTTTACCCCGATGCGACCCTGCCGGGTCAGCCATGGACATGATCACAAGGCTGACAGAGCCTTGCAATAGAGGTATCTTGTCTTCAAATGTTTATCCTCAGGACCTTTGGTTCCTCTGATGCCAAACGTGCTGTTATTATCACGGGTAAACCAAGCCTCTCAGTTTTTTCCATCTCATAGGACAGCTCTGTCTCATCCCTGTGCCTCTTTGCCCATGCTCCTTTGCTGGAAGGGATCTAAATTTAGCAGCCTGGATGCGGGCAGGCTGTGCCTCAGTGAGCATGTCTGTGTGGGTTATTTATTACAGCTCCTGCTGCAGCTCAGCTCCCAAAACAGCTCCACGCAGCCCAGCACCTACTGCTGATGCAAGGGGATGGACCAAGGGAACAGAAAATCCAGGTTCAAGCCTCAAACGCTCTCCTTTTGCACTGCAGAGCCTCTTTCCATGGAAAATCTGGCACTTGACCCTGCCCAGGATTCAGTGTGGACCAGCACATATAAACTGTTGCTAAGGAGAAACTTTTCTCTTTCCTACATCTGTGAAAGTTTCCATTCTCAGCCCTTCTTCTCACGTCAGCAGTCCCTGCTCTGGGCCCATTTTAATCCCCCAGCAGAACTGCTGTGTTTCTCCATCTTAGGTTGCCAGTGATTTTTTTAGCCTGTGTATTTTCATCCTCTGTTTGCTTCCCAGTCTCTTCAGCCCCCTGGACTGGAAGGCTGTGCAGTCACTGGTATATGCAATAGTAATTATTTAATACCATGAGTTATCACTTTTCTTTCCAAATTAGTTAAATATTGCACCAATCCTCCCATTCATTATTTTCACAATTTAACCTTTTCTTTCCCCCTGGGAGAGGCACCAAGGAGGAGGAATACCTGAGGATACAAAGTGTTTGTGTGGATGTTTTTGGCCACCTGGAATTAGTCATGTAAGTGTAGTCCATTCAGCAGCCAGATCCTGACACATCACACAGCCAAGTTCCCTGTAATCATGGCTGGTTATGGGTGCTGGCTCCAGAGCCATCTGATTCAGTCACGATTATTTGGACCAGAAAGGAAAACAAAAAGGCACAAAAGCTTCTGAGCATGCTGAGAGTTGTCTGAGTTTCTCTGGAAGGTGGATAGAATGACAGGGAGTTTAAGGAACCCTGTTATACCTTGCTACAGGAGCTGCTCCCTTCAGGAAGGTGAAGGGTTGTTGCTGTATTTTCCTAGACAAGGTTCAGGTGACAAAGCTTTGTCTCTCCAGGGGTCCTTTGTGCAGGGTCTGCTCAACTTTCAGCTTTGTCTTCATCTCTGAAAGGAGGGAAAGGCTATGGTTATTCTCCAGTATCTCCAGCTGAAGGATATCACTGGCTGGCATAGCTTTGCTGTCCTTGCATCAGAGGACAGCAGGGGACAAGCCCACAGTCCCTCTCAGTGCAGTGACAGAGCACGTTGCTCTTCTGTTCACAGATACTTCATTTGTCCTGTCAATTATTTTAACCACCCTTGGTTTAAAGCTCTCAACCCCCCAGACTTTACCCAGTTACACACATGCTTTCTATTCCCATTCCATCCTGCTGTTCTCCCATCTGCAAAAGACCTCATGAAAATTAAAGGTCACAGAAAAACAGGGGTGGCAGTGTGCATTAAGTAAATAACTTGGGCTCAAACAGCAGCCCTTTAGGTAGGGGTATTTCTTCAGTCCCACAATGAGAACAGAGCTGAACCTCTAGAAAATGGCAACATTTGGTTTTGCCTGAAGGACCTGACCTTTTAAATTTGCATCTCAGAGAGCAAAGGAGCCTTGTGCTAGGAGGAGAGATTTTCAGCGTGTCCTTTCATCAGCAGGTACCTGCCTTTAGCTCTAGAGAAACAGCCTCACCTCACTCACTGAGCTCCAAATCCTGACACTAATGAAGTCATTCACCAAGAGAGGGTCAGAAACTGGGCCTTTGGGGATTAAGCCAGTGGTTCACAAGGGAAGTGCTCACTTTCCTACCTGAGCACTGGCAGTTTGCAAACAGCCCCTGAAAATGGGGTTATTTAAGGGTTGCACAAGTGCTGTGGGAGTGTGTTGGATGCTGTAGCTCAGTCAGTGTTGTCTCCATAGCAGCAGTACCCGAAGGTAGGGTGGAGGCTGAAAACCAGCCCTTGCTTTTCCAAAGCACTGGGCTCTGTGTGCTTTTAAGAGGGTGAAGAATTCTCTCATTCCCTGTATTAATATCACAGTAGTCTCAAATGAACTGCAGTTGTTAGGGCTCGCTGCAGACATCCAGGGGCACTTCTGACCCTTAGAGCCAGGATGTGTCCTTACCTGCTGTTCAGGTAAACAGCCACAAATCACAGGTGTTTTGGGAAGAGGTGTTTTGGGGAAGAACTTAGGAAGAGGTAGCCTGGAGCTGTTGCTCCATGATTGGAGTAGAGCCCTTTTAACACAAAGAGAGGAAGGAAGATGAAACACTGCCAGACCTAGGTAAGCAGGGCTTATTTGAGTGGGAAAACTGAACTATTCCAACTCACATAAAAAATTGGAGTGTTCTTAACTCTTCATAACCACTAGAAACACTGCTTGTGCACTCAGCATTATCAGGGGAATGCACAGCACTCTCCCTTTTAGCAATCCAGGCAGGATTTAGAACCCTGAGCACAGCATACCAGCACTGCTATGCAAGTCAAAGGCTCTCTGGGTAGATTATATAAACATAAATGTCACACAAGGCCAAGAAGAAACTGGGGAGCAGAACTGATTTGAGAAAATTCCTGTAACCCAAGATGCCTTTAAAGCAAGCAGCCACTTGAACACAGGGGGAGCCCACAGGGCTGAGACAATGAGCTGTAAGGGGAGACAGCGATGAGCACTGCAAGGATGAGACAGCCAGGAGTCGAATTCCCGTTTCAAGTGTGCTTCAATCACCAGGTTCTCAAGGTGGGGATGCTCGTGTTCTGTGGGCAGGCACACAGGAGGGGATCCCAGCTGCTCTCACAGCTCCTCACGCTGACAGCTCTAGCAGATCTCGGCGGCGGGGGGCTCTCCACACTGCTGTCCCCCAGCATATGCTGTGCTGACACTGCCTCAGAGATGCCCACCCACTCTGCCTTTCTCCCACAGAGAAACTGAAGGCTGCACTTGGCCACGGGCCCAGTCTGCTGTTTTCTTTTCTTCAGGAAAGCTATAAACAACAGGGCATGCAAGCAGTCCGGGGCCATCGGTGGTCTGATGGCTTCGCTGGCTGCCTGTGGCCCTGAATCCATCCAAAGGGGAACAGGAGTCAGCAAAAACCACCAGAGAGGGAGGGGGCTTAACGAATGTTCACTTTAATTAGCATACATATAATTCTGAAGAGGAAATGAGTAGCTTTCACTTTTTCTTCTTAATTAATATTGCCTCGATGTAGTTTAATCTTACTTAGCTGCTCTGTAATTTGGCCATGACCCAGCTGTAGGGGATGGAAACAGAGCCATGACTGCCCAGCTCAGGATGACTTTTCCTGACCCTGCATTTAAACAGAAGTGAGCAAAGGGTGTGGGCAGAGCCGGGTGAGGTAGCTCAGGGCAGGAGGAGCCCCAAGAGGATCCTGACACTGGAAACACAGCTGATAAATCCCTTCTCAGGGAGAGCCCAACTTGCAAACTTCCCTTAGTGTGGCAGCAGCTGCTTTAAGGGACAGAGTGGAGCTGTGGTGCAAAGTCATGCTCCTTGAGAAACACGGCTCTGTCCCACCCAGGCTGTGCTCAGGGTCAATCCAGGCCGTTGCATCCCACGTGTGAGCCTGCAGAGCTCCATCAGCTCCATTATTTCTGGGTGTGCCACTGCTGGGGATGGAAGACTGGCTTCCAGCCACAGGAAGCAGAGCCATTGCTGGAGCAAGTGAGGATGTCCTGCAAGGGCAAACAGGAGCACCAAGGAGGTGGAAGATTCCAGTTCTTAAACACGTGAAGTACAGATCTGAGTTCTGGAGTTTTTCTGTTCCTCTGCATAAGTCTGAACCCAGTAAAGCCCAGCTCCATGATAGTGTGCTTGAGGACTGACCTTTTCTTGGGGTGATGGAGATCAGTGATGGTTTTTCTGGTCATACTAATAGTGTTTGGGGGCCACTACTGTGCACTTGGAAAGAAATCCTTGAAATCCAGGAAATCACAGGCAGAGAGATGATAGAACAGTGGCTCTATTCTTTGCTGGTGAGAAGCTTAACAGAGTTTTTTGCAGTAAATTTATATTTAAAGAGACATAGAATTGTGGAATGCATTGGATTGGGAGGGACCTTAAAGCTCATCTTGTTCCAACCTCCATGGGCAGGGACACATTCCACTGTCCCAGGCTGCTCCAAGCCCTGTCCAGCCTGGCCTTGGACACTTGCAGGAATCCAGGGACAGCCACAGCTGCTCTGGGCACCCTGTGCCAGGGCCTCATCCCCCTCACAAGGAACAATTCCTTTCTTATATCTAATCTATTTCCTCCCTTACTTTGAAACAGTTACCCCTATCACTGTGTAAAAAGGGCTCTCCCAACACACTTACCAAGATAAACATTACCGTGTGATTAAGACCTCGTTATTATGCGGTGAATTCATGAAAATGTGACCACGGCTGTTTCCCCTGGCCGGTTAAGTGACAGCAAGCACAGTGCCAGCTCTGCTCTCCGTCGTTGCCGCTCCCCGAGCTCTCCAGAAGGGGCCAGTGTGCCCTCGCCTTTCGGGGGCCGCAGCAAACCTGCCCAGGCCTGTGTTTTTATTTAGAAAATGCTGAGCTGTCTGGAAAGTTTGATGAAGAGGGATGCAGCTGTATTAATGTGCTTCTTCCTGGGGATTTGAATGCATTTTCTGAGCAGCGCAGAAGGACCAGGGATCAGGGAGACAATGTGCAGGGAAGCAGCTCTGCTGACCACACTCGGATATTTTAAACCTCGCGTCATGGGATTTCAGCAGCTTAAAATTTGGTGTTTAGATTGAGTGCATTAGTCAGAGGTTCCTCTCTGCAGCAGGACAAGCCCGGGAGCGCTCTGGAGTCGCTCTGACACAGGAGAAGCAGCAGGCCCTGTCTGTGCTGTGGCCGCGGATCAGCTTTTTCCCTTGGAGCTTTCAGGCTCAGTTCCCTCTGATCCCTGTGAAGGTCACTGGGATTGCAGCAGCGCAGCCGAGCCTTGTGCTTTCTGGAATAAAGAATATCCCCAGCGTCTGCAGCCGGGGATGGCTCCTGCTGTGCTCCTGCTCCCCAAAATGGTCATGGGTGGGGTTTGCGTGCCCGTGGGCTGAACATCAGAGCCCCCAGCCGCGCGTGGGTCTGGCACTGCCTGCATTGCACTGCAGGTACGGTTAAAAAAAGCCCTCTCGGAGCCAGGGAGGAGGCTCAGCAGTGCATCTGCAGCTCTCTGCATGCAGTGGCTTTTATCTTCTTTAGTTGGAAATGAGTCATTTCCCTGTACTGTACAGAGATGCCCAATTTCCTTGGAAATTGTTCAGTTCTGCAGTCCCCAGAAATCCCCAGTGATGGGACCCAATTTTTTGCACTGGGTGTTTTACCTGTCTTGAGAGGTGCCTGGGGATTTTCACAGGTTAGAGAAATATAAAAAAATATTTTAAAATAATGGATAGAAGCAACTGAGACTTCACTCAGTTCATATTTATTCCAAAGGGCACGTGAACCTTCTGTACTGAGCTCTGGCAGTTAATTCATCACAGAGCCCCAAAGCACAGCCAAGCATGTTTCATGCAGATTGAAGCCTGCAAATGAAAAAGGGCTGTTTGCACACGTGTTGGCTGCCTGGCTGAAAGGACTGCAGCTCCAGCTGTGTGGACTTGGGGTGTACTTGGAAATGAGGTGCAGTCCAGGAGCCACCCTACAAATTATGGGTGACTGAAGATGGTCAGAGGAAGACTTTGGGGTCTGCAGGGTGGTTTTGCGAGCCCACACCTTTAAGACCTGCTGAGGACAAGGATGGTGGAAGAGGTGTAGCATGATCCACAGTGAAGAGAAACAGCAGAAAAACAACTGTAGTGACGTGCTGTCAGATCTGCCCATCTGTGTATTGCTAAATGTTACCACCAGCAATTTTACCTGCCTATCCTCAGAGCCATATGCATCTTAAAAGTCTTCAAACACTGTGAGGAAAAACCCAATTAGACCCATTTACAACAGGCTGATCCAACCTCACTGGCATGGCTGGAAGCTCGTGACCAAAGCGAGGCCAAGGGCTGTGGGAAGGGTAAACATTTTTGTCACCCCAAAGCAACCAGGCCTGGCCTACCCTGGGGACAGGGGCTGGCAGCAGGGTGGCTGTAGTTATTACCATAATACAGGAAATAATAGTCATTGGGAAAATGGGACCATGCTTTGGTTTCCTCTTCCATCCCAGTCAGAGGGGAGGAAGGAGAGTGGTGCTGTCATGGAGGTATTAATTTGGCAACCAAGTGCTGCTTGGGTTTTGTATTCTGGAAAAAAACCCCAATTTTTGTCATTTTAACATTCCCTGTGCTGCTTGAAATCCCAGCTCCAGCCTTCAATAGTGCATGAGAGGAGCTGGCTGCTCTGGATGCCATAAGCTGGGAAAATCTCTGATTCCTGAGGAAAAAATGCTGAGAAGAACTCAAAGTGCATTTACAGTAAGATCTGAGCTAAACTAAACCTTTCCAAAGCCTGACCCAATGGCTTTGGGCTCTGGAGGAGCTGCAGTGCCCCTGAGGAGCATCTTGCCAGGCAGGAAGGAGGAGGAAGCTGTAATTTAACAGCAAATCCAAGGCACGGGTTTTACAAAACCAGCTACCAGGTGTAAAACTAAAGGCATTTTGAAGGATATCTCTGCTTTCAGGATTTTTTCTTAGGCTCTCAAAACAGGCACTAGCAGGGCCTGTGTGAAGATAAGCCTCGTGCTTCAGGTTAATCCCAAGATGTCACAGCAGTGGCCTTTTATTATTATACCACAAAAACATCGACTTTAGCGCATTATTTCAAAGATAAACGTAAATACCCGTCACCATGCAAAGCCCAAATGTGGGCCGTGGTTCCTCGCGGACAGGATTTCTGCACTCATCCCTCGCGGCGAGGAGGACGCAGAGTCCTCGGGCCCCGTCCGCTGTCCCTGGGGCGGCCTCCGGTCCCGGCCGGTCTGAGGGGCGACCCCGGCCCGGGCGCTCCGCCACAGCCCCCTCACGGCCCCGCCGGCACAGCGCCCCCTGCCGGCCGGGGCCGCGCGGCATGCCGGGACTTGTAGTCCCCACCGCCACAGAGTACCCCGTCCGCCGGCCACAGGGAACTACCGCCCCCAGCGTGCCGCGCGCGGCGCCGCCATCCCGCCGAGCCCCCGCTCCCCCTCCCTCCGCACTGTGGGGCGGGGGGCGCTCTGGGGGCTGCGGGACGGGACATTCTGGGGCGCGACATCCCGGGACGGAGCGCAGCGGAACGGGACGGCACAGCCCGGGGCGGCGGGGCCGGGCCCTGCAGCTGGCGGAGGCGCGGGGGCGGTGCTCCCGACGGCAGCCGGGACTTCCTGTGACGGCCCATTTCCTGGTCGGATGGGGCCGGCGGGGGGCGGCGGCGGCGGGGTCGGTCCCTGTCCCTGACGGGCTCGGTGGTCGCCGGTGACGCCGCCAGGCAGCGATGCGAGCCCCGGGCCCTGCCGGCAGCCGGCCCCCGCCGTGACCCGGTGGGGCTGCGCACGCCGGCCCCGCGGGGCGCATGGAGGCTCCCGCCGCCCTCTGCGAGGTACCGGGCAGCGTCGCTGCGGGTCGGGGCTCGCGGAGGGGCCCGCGGGGGTGACGCCGCAGGCCCGTTATCCCCGGTGCTTTTGCAGGTGTGACTCCCCGCGGGACAGCGCGGCTCGGCCCCGCCAGGCGAGCGGCCCCGGGCCCCCCTCAGCGGCCGCGGCAGGAGCCAGGAGGGCTCGGGAGTGACACCGGCATCGCCCCCGTCGCCGGCGGCTGCCGCCTCCTGAGACATGAAGAAGTTCTTCGACTCGCGCCGGGAGCAGGGCGGCTCCGGGCCCGGGTCGGGCACCAGCGGCGGCGGCGGCGGCAGCAGCGGCCCGGGCAGCGGCTACATCGGCCGGGTCTTCAGCATCGGCCGGCACCAGGTCACCGTGGATGAGGTGCTGGCGGAAGGTAAGGTCCCGGGGCCTTTCTGAGCGCTCGAGGACGCTGCTTTTCTCTTCCCAAGGTGGAAGGGAGGCCTTGAGGTGTCCCGGGCACTCAGCCTCCTCCTTGACCCCCAGATTGCTGAGTATTTCATTGTCCTTGGTAGAATTGCAGTCCAGTGGTGTCTGTAAGCTGATGTGTCTGGTCTTCCCATCTGTAAATCCAGTGTGGGTTTGGTAGATTTGGCGTTTTTAAAAATTGATTTAGAAATTGGGGGATTTTCAGAAGTTAATTGTTTCCCACTTCTCCTAAAGTGGGAGTTAAAAAAACCTAAAGAAACAGCCAAACCAAAATTGTCAAATATTTTGGTGCAGAACAAGGTGCTGTAAATAAAGAAAGCAGTGTCCTTCAGTCTTAAACTTTCTTCAGCTGTTACCTCCTTTCCCACCTCAAGCAGAGAGGATTAAAACACTGGAGTAAATTCCCTGTAGCTATGTTATGCACATAGGCTGAGCAGGACTGGCTGTGACCTGGGATGAGGGATTTCTTGGTGTGTGGGATGTCTGCAAGAGGAAGTGGTGATCCCAATTGCCTTTTTTCTTTTTTTTTTTTTCCCCCAAATAAAACAGTTAGAGACCTAAAAATGAATCCTGGGGGTTACAGAACTCATGACGTGTGCAGGCCTTGCAGTGCTGGTGGCATTTGTTTAATTGTGACCAGCTCTGCTGCTCGAACTATCATTTTACATTTCATTTGTTGGGGCTGTAAGGAACCTCCTGAATGGCTCTGCCTGCTAACCTTAGCCTCGACCTTCAGAGAGATGTTGGCCTCCTTAGACCTGCTCCTGGTCCCTCCTGCGCAGCATCCTGGGCAAATTTAGTCCAAACAGTGTTTTGTTTTGATGGCGAAGGAGAGGAGAGCTGCTGGGAGAGAGCTGAGTGGGAGGACCTGTGTTGGCTTTTACAGAAAGAGCCCTAAAATGGAAAAGGGACTCTGTGTACGCTGCCTGTGTTCAGATTTGTAAGAATTCATCACGGTGTACAAGAAAATAGGTCTGTGGCTGATTTTTAGACTTGGTTTCTGATGTGTTCTGCTGAGAGGAGCACTGAAACCAGGCTTTTACCTAGCAACTATAGTGATTTTTTTTTTCCTTGAAATTTGCAGTATAGGTTTGCTTGGACTGATATTTCCAAGGCCCTTTTGGCTCTGGAAGCTTAGGACCTACATGAGCTAAACTTGAGAAGCTGTCAGTCTCTCTTTAATGCAGGATGGCCTCATCCTGGTAACATGGGAAGGCAGAGGCTTTTTTTGCTGATGAGTAATGTGCTGGCAGGTTCTGCCCTGGGAAGCAAAGCCATGTGTCACCGGGCTCTCCTGCTGCAGCAGAGGTGGAGGTGGGAGCACAGATTGCCTGGGAGAGAAGAGCCTCCCTTCTCTGCCTCTCTGTCCTGGGGGAGCTGCTGCTTGTGGGGGCTTTTCCCTGCATCTCCTGTTTGTGTCTGTGGGATGGAGCATGACCTGCAGTTCTGGGTTCCTTCCATGCAGGCTGAGCACACCTGTGAAACAGCTCCTGTGAGGCAGAGGGAGTTGTTGTGGTAAAAGGTGCTGCCCAGTGAGGCTCTGCCGTGGGCAGTGTGAAATCCTCTGTGTGCAGAGTGGAATCTGCGAGGGGACACGAGCAAGGCAGTGGGTTGGTTTGCAGGTTGGTTTGCAGGTTGTCCCCTTTTTGGCTCTGCCGTGGGCAGTGTGAAATCCTCTGTGTGCAGAGTGGAATCTGCGAGGGGACACGAGCAAGGCAGTGGGTTGGTTTGCAGGTTGTCCCCTTTTGTTGGCAGCAGTGAAAATGCCTTTTCCTCTGCAGGAAAGCTGGGCCAGCTGGGGAGCAGTGTGGGTCAGGAGTGCTGCAGCTCTGCATGCCCCTGGCTGGGTGTGCTGGTAAACAGCCTTTTCTCCCTGACTCAGCTGGAGACCTGGGGAGCTCGTGGGCAGCCCGGTCCCCACGCTCCTGACGTCTGAAACCTCGGCTGGAAAACCTCTCTGTAGCTGCAGTGGTGTTTCAGCAGTGCTGAAGAGGCAACTCCTGGCTATTTCTGCTAAAAGGAAAAGTCCCCTGGGAAGCACTTTGTAGGAGGAGTATCCTGTCTGGGAAGGAAGGGCCTCTCATCCCCTTGCTTTAGGAGGGAGTGGGGAGGTCTGTGTTTAGGTGCAGCCTGTGAAACATGAAAAAATAGAGCTGTAAAAGTGGCTTGAAAGAGAGACCCAATGAAGTGATGAATGGTGTGGAGGAGAGTTGAGCTGAACCAGAAGTTTTGGAACTGAAGTGTTTGGAATTTGCCTCTGCCTGTCAGAGCTGTGCCTGGTCACCCTGAATTCTGCTGAGCAACCCTGCTGATGAGTGTGTGTGTGCCCTGGCTGCAGCACTGCCTGTGCCAGGTGGCAGATGGCTCCATGTGCCTCTGGGCTCTTGTGTAGATCCCCCAAAATACCTGCTGTGGTTAGGTGTACCCCCCCACCCCTGAAAAATAGTTCTGTCTGGATACTTGCCTGCCTGGGCAGGGAGGAACATCCCTTCCTTTTGGAAGGAAGTAGATGGGAATAATGCAGAAGGAATTTGAGGAGTTGGTTGTGGTGTTAGGATATGGTGAATCAGTGGGGTTTTTACAAAGAGGATGTTGCAATAGGTGATTCCTAGTTGGGTCCTTGTAGCTCTCCTGCTCTAATCCATATAATAGCACAAATAAGTTCTTGAACAATTCCCCTCAAAGTTTGCACAAGGATTATCTGTGGTGGGAGGGCAGTGCTGCTGGCCCTGGGGGTCTGCAGGGCCAGGTTTAAAGTCACACAGTGCCCCAGTGTGGGCTGAGGGGTGTTATGAGTGGTTTTGGGGTGAGTGGTGTTTCACAGAGCTGAAGTCAGTGCCCAGGAGCTCTGTCAGTGTTGGGCTGAGTCAGGCTGCTGTCTGGCTGTTTTCTTTCTGAAAATAAATCAAAAGAGTGTTGGACCAAATCAGGTACTGCTCTTTATTTCTGCCTTTGTCTAGGGGAAAAACCAAAACAACAAACCCCCACCCCAGAGCCCCATGCTGGAGCTCTAGGGAGGTTGGTGTCCCTCTGATGGGGATCAAAGCAGCAGAAACACTGAGAAAGATGTTGCCATAAATGAGGAATTTGCTAAGGAGTTTGGGAGAGGTGTGTGTGTGGCAAAGTACCACAAGGCATGGGTGAGCTAAAACAGGTCAGGGATTGCCCCAGTGTCCCATTTTTGAAGGCCTCTGTGTTTTGTGTGACTCCTCTCACAGTGTTGTGAGAGAGTGCTGAGCTGACCCGAGGTGTGTAAACATTGATGGGGCACGTGTTTGAGCAGGGTTTTGTCTTGCTCTGCTTCTAGCAAAAAGTACAGGCTGCATTTCTGCAGGTCTGTGAAAAGTTACTTTTAAAATGAGTTGCACTTTTTTGAAGGTTTTTTCGCCCTTCAAGTGTGTAAGTAAGGGATTCAGGTTTAATAATTGGTGGATATCTCACTGAAGTTTTTCAGGTGCGTGCCTGTGTGCTGTAGCTAGTGTTGATTTGAAAGCATTTAGTGCTTGGTGTTACCAACCAGTGCAAAGGCACAGAATCATCTCACGTTTGCCAGCTGTACTTTTTCCTCTGTTTTGAAAAGAGGGATGTTTGTGGGATCCATCCTGACTTTCCTTAGCAGACCTGCAGGGCAGTGCATGTGGGCAGCAGCTGGGAGAGGCTGTGAATGCCCAGCCTGGTGGGGTGGGGGTGCCCCGAGCTGCCCTGGGTGCTGGCCTGAGTGCAGAGGGTTTCTGCTGACCCCTGCCCTGCTCTCCCTTGGCACCTCCTTCCCCTGCAGCACCATAACCTGAAGTCACTGAAAATACACGTGAGCTTCTTCTGAAATTATTTCACTTTAAAGCAAACCCTATCTGAGGAATGTTTTGCAGATTTATGTGATCCTCAACCCAATTCCAGTGTGGTTGGGTTCAAGACATTGCTTTGAAGTGTATTTTGTGAGTTACTGCTTTCCAGCTTCAGCCAAGGGCCAGCTGCTAATCACCTGACCAGGGACATTTGGATTAGGAATTAAACTGTTTCTCCTCTTGGAATGGGACATGTGATATTTTTTTTTCCCTGTTTCTTGTGGAGCAGAACATGTACTCTGCACTCTGCTCTGCCAGGTAGGATGTTTGATTCTGTGTTCTAGCAGTCTGTTTTTCTGAGAGTAGAAGCCAGGGGAACTTGTGAAGGATCCCAAGGGAGTTTATTTACTAAATGCTGAGGTATCCCAACTGTTTTGGTGCTTTTAGCAGCACAGCTTTTGCTGGGACAGTATGTGCTGTGTCCTGAGATGTAATCAGGGAGGAAAAGCAGGTGTTAGTGGATTTAAGTGTGTAAGAAGTTGTGTGTGCCAGGGACTGGCCTGGCCTGGCTCATGGGCTTTGTGCTGCCTGTCACAGAAGGGGTCTGGGTTGTACCCAGGGGGGCTGGTTCCTTATGGAGCAGCTGTGGCAGCTAAAAGCTGGTTTAAAGGCAGTGTTAGCCCAGCCAGTCATCATCCCAGGAAGGAACCTTCCATGTGAAACCAGGAGAGTTTCTGTTTCAAGCAGTCCTGCTATGAAGTTGTCAGTATAAGAAACGTTAGTTTGGGGTTTCTGGCTGGGGGTGATCCATGGTTTAACTCTCCAGCTGGGGTCTTGCAGAAGTGTTCTGGTAGTTTTAAAGGAACAGGTTACTAACCTCTGGTTGCATGTGCATGATGTTTTTATTGTGGCATGAACCTTCTCCCCTTTGTGCAGGAGCTTGTCAGCAGCTTGAGGAGAGCAGGTGGGAAGTTACAAATGTGCTGAAGACAAGCTGGAATCCACTCTGGATTTAGCACTTCTTGCCTTCCAAGCTCACCCACCTGCATTAATCATGGCTAATAGGGGTCAGGACTGGCTAGGTGCTGCACACTTGTGTTGGGACTGGGAGCTGCTTCCCTTGAAGGTGACTTTTTTCAGTGTAAATGTTCTGGGCAGGCTG